TCATCGTGATGTTAGTGACAACACCTTACGATGCCACATCGTCGGCGAAACTGATCAAGCCGGCTGGACAACCCCTGGTCCGAAAGGTAGGGCTTGAAAAGAGGCACTAGCTGCAGTCCGTCAGTGTTTCTTGAGCAAAACTGGACTCAGCGAGTTAAGTTGGTCAGAAAGCTGCCATTGCGACACTATGGACCTTTTGCCGACAATTTGTCCCTACCATTAATCCATGAATGTGGTCAGGCATTAGTTTAAAAAACTACTACTTAGTCAATTGAGATTGTTAAAATTAACAACTCAGCCCATCCACAGATGAATTTATATTCTTTATATATTTATCTACTCCAGTGATGAGGAAATCTACACTTTAACTGATGTGAACCAACGACATCAAAATATTTTTATGAGTATTTTGTCCAATTCTAAAACTAAGGCGTGTCATGTAGCTCTACTGCGTACTTGCATGTAGTCCCTTCTGAACGCCTACGTATCACGATTCTGAAGCAAAACGGGACGAGTTCGTTCCCGTCGGTAACTCGGTAGCTCCTCAACTATTCCCGATAAAAGCCGGCAGGATAACACATCACAGATCCGGTAGTAGGGCGTCAGACATAAAGTTCGTGGGTTAGACGGTCGGCGTTCGAATCCCGCGTTACACAAACATGGCTGATTGGAACTGATATATCAGAAATGTCTACTTAAATCTCCCTCTGGTTCTTGTGGGCATTCCGTCCTCATAATTACAGAAGGTGACCTAATTAATTCATATTCATGATTAAAAATGCAGTTGGTTGTTTAGCATGCATTTCTTCTTGTTATTTGGATTTATTGAATAGATGTTATTCGCAGAAAGCATTTTAACAAAGAAGACTGCATGTTCACGCAATATGTGGAAGGAAAACAGGCAAGATTTTGGCGAAATCAGAGGGTGCCGTATACCACAGGAATAGGACATAACCAACCCTTTTATTTTTATGCATTATGCTATAAAGGAACACCAAGATAAGCAAGAGCACTTTAAATTAAATCCATTTCGGAGCCGGAAAACCGGATGTTAAGTTAGTGAAAGTCAGTTGGAAGCAAGAGTAGGGAATCGCATTGTCACTACATGACTGTTCGCAAGGCTCTAGACTGGAACTCTAGAGCGTATACCAAGCTATGATTTTATTATTGAACAAACCATCTACGCCCTACATTTATATCAATAATAGATCCGATATCACATTAAATGTTAGTCAGACTCCTAGTTGTGTTTACAACTCCAGAATTATGACTTACGTAGAATTGCACTATTAGTTATCCTGCAGCATAATACACAAATATTTCATTGGCGGCTGGATGTCGGCCTTGGAACAGGCTATTTTTCAGCCAATTTCAAAAACCACACTCCCAAGACAATGACCACTTAAGTAGTACGTATTGTTCTCATTAGTTTTCGATGTCCTTATGAATTTAAATGTATATTTTAGAAAAAAACATGAATTAAAATATCCTTTCTTGTACTGCACCATAATAGGCAAATATTTCAGTCACGTTAGGATGCCGGCTGCTGAATGAATTTTTTTACGGCCGCCTATGAAAGCCGCGCTCTGTCAAAAGTTGCCGCTTACATTGCATGAGTTTTTCACCCATTGGTCTTCGATGTTTTTATAAATTCAAATATATTTTATGTAAAGAATTCCTGAAAATGTTCGCCCTCTTATACTCATTTTACAGCAAATTATTTCTCTTTTAACTCATTCTTTGTAAAATATTATTTTTTGGTTATAAAAAACTCCAGTTCCTGATTACTTTTTAAAATAAAATGCAGTTATACTTGTCCTTATGGTATTCGAGTCACATAACGCATGCATCCTGTCGAAGAGAAAACTGTTGGAAAGATGTCATATTGTGCTTATAAGATTTTTCACTGGATATGGATGTACAGCATTAACAAATGTGCAGATATGATAATTCATATAAAGACCCTTCACGGACTTAAAAAATATCCAAACTAACAAGGTCCTACAATCAAAAATAGCCCTCCTTCAAGTTTAAAGTGTGAAAAACATGTAAGTGTCCGCCAATTGATAACAACTCTTATGTTTTGTGCGTATTTTTTTAAGAAAACTTTTATAAGGGCGTCAAAAATCTACCTGACAAAGTTGTATTACTTAAATCGTCATTTCTACAGGGCGCAGTTCTTGTTAGTGGCTTCAGAGAAGCCTTTTCGAATTCCGGTATCCTGACGTGACTGAAATACTATTTAAGATCACAGCCCTACTTTAGTAATATTTTCGAATGACTTAATAATACACGACATAGCGCATCTGTGGTATTTGAATGACGCCTTATGCCTACCAACCCATCAGCCACTGTCCTCAAACAAGCCATTGTATTATCCTACGTCTTTTCAGTGCATCTTGCACTTTAAAGTGCTTTCAGCATACCCGATTAAGTCGGCTCCGAGGCCAACGGGGTCACTACTGCAATCGAGGTCAACTGTCACCAAGCCTAGCCACATCTTCACCTTAAACTTCACCAGGACCAAAAGTCATTAACCACGGAAGATTGTAAAATGCATAAACCCCGGATAACACTTAGCAATCATAATTTCGATTGGGTAGCCTGAAAACTGGCAGTGTGTGTCTCCTCCTAATTCGGTTTGGACGACCCATTATCTACCCAAAGTGTGCAGAACCTACTATTTTCACAGCCAGTCGTAGGGGTTGAAGAGGTCTAATCGGAAGGGCGGTCCGGCATGAAAAAGGACGAATGTAGCAAAGTGTCCATCATCACGCGTTTACTCTTCTTAGAGAACTGAACGAGATTCAAACGTTCATAAACTATTCCCCAAGGAACTACAGGTCAGTTCTACAGCCAGGGGCAGACTAATTTATTTTTCTAGCTCATTTTCCGACAATCAGGCGGAAATCGACCCTCATTACTTGCAATAAAATTTAAGGAGATGCCTATTACTCTCTTCCAACATCAGCTCTAACTGAAAACCCGAACCTCCTGAAATTTGATGCGGGATCGCCTGTAATAATAGTTTGAGGTAAACATTCTGCAGCCCATGTAATGGATGGTATTTCCTAAATTTTTTGAACTTTTTGCCCATATTCATACGCTCTTTTGACTTGCTATGAAGTTTTTCTACAAAGTGTTCCGATCCCAACTTTATTCCTATCGTTCGGGTGTTAATGAATAAAAAGGAGCTTTGAATCCTGATTCACTATTGCCGGAAACTAGAAATTTCGGCTAGGCAAACTACAAAGGTGTGTGACGCCAGAGGCGGATGAGCCGTCCACGAGACAACTGCTTCTTGTGGGCACAAGCCTTTTAACTCTGGCGATATCAGATTGGTAGACCAGCCTCTTTCCGTTCGGCCTTCAGAGTTGAACACTGAAGACTTGCTTTCTTTCTACACTTGAAAATTAACGGTTAGCTAGCAGTACTGAATTGTGAGTAGTAATTAGAGTCGAACACCAAACGGTCTTGAGACATTTTCCCCAGCCTGACTCTGTATGCATGAAGCCCCATCAAGAGCCGTGTGAGCTGATCCAAACACCAGCCAATCGATGCATTAAAATTTGCCGCCAGTTTTTGCAAAGCCCTCTGAACGCTTGATTCTGCAAGCGCATTGTGATGTCTGATGAGAAATTGGTTTACTCACTCAATCACGGCTGGCAGAAGAAATTGAGTTCAACGGGTCAGACAATTCGAGTCATTTTAGGAGCTTGAAGAAGCATGCAAGTAATTCTTCAATCCGAAATCTAAGGAACAGTACTTCCATCAGATCCGGTTGCTCGCAAATCGGGGCAGCAAATCGTTGAGAATGATGGACTTTATTCTTAAGAATAGCTATTATTGTTTTTTGTTGCCAAAAGCAAGATGTAGATTTTTTTATAAAATATAAATAAAATAAATAATAAATTTAGTTTGGTTATAAGTGCTGCAGAAATGTTGCCTCAAACTAACACAGGTGTACTTAATACCCTGTGCAATCGGGAAGTCCGACAAACGCGAAGTTTCTCCGAAATCTCATTTGGCTATCACTTTAAAGGATCTATTTCTTTTCTGCAAACTGATGAGGCAGAGACAGGAAGGGGTTGAATTTGCGTCATTTTTTTAAGTAAACAATAAGATGGACCACCCGACGACATTGTTTTGTGAGCACGCAACAGAAGTGGTTAGGGGAGTACTAGTGTGCAAAGCAGACGCATTCAAACCGATCACTTACCCAGCTCGGGTTCCGTCATTGCATTTGACACCGGTGTCCGTGAGGTATCGCAGGTAGAATACCTTATAACTGTGATTGGTCCGACGAGCCTGACTAGCCGATCGATAACGCAAGGACTGGTGGTACAACCAACTATTCTGGAGACTGGGTAGCGGGTTTCCGGGCGTGGAGTTGTAGGGACTGGATTGAAGGTGGAAACCACCTGTCGTGGGGAACCCGACAGAGAGGGGACTAAGGGGGACCAGGAGGAGGGCCAATATCCTATGCAAGCTTAAGCAACGTATGCAGCGACGGAGCTGCAGACGACCCTGATCAACGGACGCACCAGCTGCTGACATGATCTAGAGGACAGAGAAGGTTTTATTAAGTTGAAGCAATTTTAATGTCGTAAATCCCCTGCGGTGAAACTTGACGGAACAACCGGTTTTCGAAAAAGCCTGTTATTATACTCTCACCCTTTAATACTGGCAATATTTCAACTACCATAGAACGATGGATAGATGGATGGACAAAGGATGATTTGCCATTGCACCTCGCCCTAACTTCTGCTTATGAGGTCACGTGCACTTGCCGGGCTGCAAGTACATTGGGCGAACGCAAAGACAACAGGCAACCAGGTCTGTTGAGCATTTGCTCAAATGGATTTTAAAACGGGAAGGCAGAATTTCGCGTTCTTCTAGCACTAAACGTGTCCTAGTTAGTGGTAATTCTTTTAAGTCTAAAACAGCGTACCTGTTCGGACACGAGCAACTCGAATCGTGAAACGCCCAAACACCGCAAACAACTGGACCATTTATTCGACCTCCCATTGCTCTGGTAAGCTGCTGGCTCTGCCTTTATTCATCCCATTTGTATTTGTTAACTATTTCCCTTTTTTCCTAACTTGTGGTCTTAGGTTATCCTTTTTATTGGCTATTCTCTGCATCATGAACAATAACCTTGCTGTTGTGTGTTGATCTTGCGTGCAAATTCAACTTAAGTGTGTGCCTCTTATCCATTATCTGTGCTATGCAGCCACGGCTTGCAGTTGATAAGGAGTCGAAAAATCTGTCGGTTTCCAAAATTTCTGTTGTCCACGCTTGTTTTAAATTCACATCGGGGAAGAAGGCTTCAACTTTCTTTTGCTACTATCCATTCAGAGTTGATGAATTTACAACTAAACTTACTCATATTAAACGTGTACTCGTCAACGTCTAGGAGACAAACCCAGCTCACATGAAAAAAAAACAGATTTTACGAAAATAGGTAAAAGCGAGAGGAGTAGATGCGTGGCTTCTTTAGTGTATGGAAACAAAAATTTAATTTTCTCATTTTCTCAAGTTCCTCGATTCAACATGATTTGGCCGCTACTTAAAGAGAAAAACCGCAACTTTTGCCCCAACTGCAATGTCGATCACGGAAAATAGATCTTTATTGATCCTGGGAATACCCTTTGAACAATGATATCCCAAGCACTACCGGTATATTATATACCTAAAATACCTTTATTCGCGGAATAAAAATTTATTGGGTGTGACCAATTTTTCAGTGTTGATTTTTGCAAAAAATTGAAAGACAGCAATTCTTTTCTGCTTAAGCACATTCGATATGTCTCTTAGAAAACGAAATTATATGTATACGTCCCTCGAGTTGAAAGCCACTATTCAGGAAGGTCTCGCTAAAGCCATTATTAATTAAGTTTATTTCAAGCACACGTCCTCCCGGAAACAAGAATTTTCATAGTAAGTACCAAGGATATTTAAGAGGAAATCAAACTAGCTACTGACCTTCAGTATGTATGCAAATTTACAATTAGCATTGAGGAAGTTTATATCCGATCGCGCACACTGGTACTCGAAACAATAAGTCTTTCTCTGTATTTATTGCAGGCCAGATTTTGTAAAATTGTGCGAAGTCCTACCGCTGCTACGTGCAACGTAATTAGCACGGCCTTTGGACTATCTTAAACGGTTTCTGTAAAATATCATCTAGGGCAGAATGTGTTTACAAAAAGTGTCGTTTAGTTCGCTCGGGTAATTTTAGGGAGGCCACTTCCAGCTTCTAAATCAGCACAAAAATGAACAAAAAGACGAAACATTGAAGATTTAAAAAAAAAGATTTTATTTAGTCCTGGTATGTTCACATCCGTTGTGCTATCGCTTCTCTTAAGACTGTGCTCTAGATTAAAAA